ACACACACACACACACACACACACACACACACACACACACACACACACACACACACACACACACACACAGAGAACTTCCCCACATCTGTAGATAGTGTCACTGCTCCAGTCTCCAGGCCTTCGATACGAGAGCACCGAGCGTCGAGTCAGAGAGGAGCGTCTAAGAGTGAAAACTCTCAGAGAGTGTGAGCAGTCGTCCTAATCTCCRGGCCGGCTCCATAAACACTGTTGGCCTCGCAGAGCCAGATCCTGAGCAGCCCAGCGGCTCCGAGGCTGACATAACGCATCACGTCACGCTGCCACCATCGCCCCCTACRCTGCTGCTGCTCAACAAAAAGCTCACATCAGCTCAGGCCCCGTCTTATGATGTCATTAAATACTGGTTTAGCTTATGGAGGAAGTAAAACCCAGACTGAGGACTCTTAAGGGCCCTGCAAAACTTATTCAGTACTAACACTAAAAAAATATAAAAAAAAACAAGCAGAAACATGCGAATAGGTTTATCTGTGACTACAGAAATATGATAAACTGATTTAAATAACAAATTTGCAAACATGCTAGTAGAAATCTGAGACCTACTTCATAGAATCTAAAAATTCCACAACAAAATGTGACCTAAAAAAATAAGAACAAAAAGAAGAAAAATTTGTTGCAGTGATTTCAAATTCACAGAGTAGACTCACAGAGGCATTTGGAAACAGGCAAGAGACTAAAACCTTTAAAGTGCCTGTGACATCTAATTTATTTTTAAAAAATATGAGTGTGTTTTTGAAAAGATAAACTTTTTGCAAAAAAAYMCGTCGCTGAKATGAASAGTTTTTGAGATATTTGCATGTGAACTAACAGGAAGTGATGTCAAAGGGGAATGTCTGCATGCAAAGAGATAACATCAGAGACTGTAGAGAATAATCTGATGTTTCTTTGGATTATTTTGAGTCTCAAATAGAGAGATTAAGAAGAGACAGGGTTCAAATAATATCGTTTCAAGAAACAAAGACCAGGAAGTKTTCTTTCTTAATGAATTCCCCTTTGATGTCACTTTCTGTTTCAGTTTGGCTGAGCCAAATTCAAAAGAAAACATGTCAATATGTAACAAAGTTGGTAAAATTGTGTATTATTCCAAGTTTCCTAAATATAAAGATGTTTATTTTATGTAGTTGTAGTAAATGCATGTCACAGGCACTTTAATATTATTTATTTGTGTTTTACTTCCCGTGGCTGTTCTTTTTACCACGACTCAGCACCCACATTATGGTTGCTGTTGTGCAAAATGACAGCTAAATGAGCACAAATCTGGATTAAACWGTGT